TACCAATATGTATTTGCCACATGTAGAACATTTGCAGGATTTGGCATGCAACATGTTGCAATTCTGGCAAAGAAGATGCAGAACTTATGGGAAATGCCCTACAGTTCTGGCAAAGAATACCATATTATTTATTAACCTAGAGTGCCCTTTGAAAGCTTCAAAGTGCTTTACAAGAAAGAAAATTGCACACAGTACATTATTTAATACAAAAACTTACATTAGCTTACAAATTTAAATTACTCAAACAAGGGGAAAATATTTCTCACAGCAATATTCGTTCAGTCATGTTGCAGAGCACATTTTATAGTTTAGATTGAACAGATTATTAACAAAAATGCATATTAAGAAGACGTATCTAGCACAGTATCTTTTTGAGGAAGATGCCTAAAAAACTCTATTGTGAGACACTTACCTTTTAATTTCCTGACTTCTGAAGCCAGCTTTTTCAAGCTGAATGTATATCTGGATTCCCCGCTGTGTATAGTTCGGCGTGCGTTCCCAGGCTTCTGTATGTAGAGCTAGGAGTGTATATCTATACTGTTGTTTCTAAAATTTGGCATCTCTGTGATTTGGCTGGATTTTTGGAAAGACAGTGAGTGTCCTACCTCTAACGGCAGCCAGTACCACAGGTTTTGGGAGGAGTGTGAGAATAATCAGCTTTTGCTGGCACAGTCTCCCATGGCATGTGTCCTGGGGAGCTCCTGACCAGAGCCTGCGGTCGGACCAGTGTTTGATGGCCATTGAGCAGACCTATCCTCCGTGAATTCATCCAATCCATTTTTAACTTACCTACCCTCTTGCGTCCCATCATGTCTTTTCACAATGAGTTCAGTTTAATTATTCTTTCTGTGGGAAAACTTCCTTGCCCCCCCCGCCCTCATTTTAAACCTGCCATCTGATCACTTCTTCTTGCCATCAGTTCTTTTACTGAGACATGAGCGAACTTTGCCTTTTCAACATCTCCGCAGAGGTGATGATTTTATAGACTCCCATTTCATTTGTGCTTTCTCTTCCATCAACACCAATATTTGTTTTATTTCAGAACTTGCATAAGTACCCAAATACATGAAAAACATACAACTTAACCGTTCAGCCTAGACTGGACCCAAGGTAGATGATTTAACATGAGTCGACACTTCCACTGGGAATTACGATAAAGGACGGACTTGCATTTTTTTGTAAAAAACTGGGAAGATTCAAGTAGAGCTACAGGACTTTTAAATGTGAAAATTCTAGGACTTACATAATTTCTACTACAAAAAAAGAAAAGCAATCCCCTTTTTTATCAGAGAATACAGCTCCACTGAAGGGTAACTGCTTCATAAAATCATACTTGCCAAAAAATGTTTGAGAAAAAACAATGGAAATGTTCTGGCATTCCCATCTGGAAAAAAAAGCTTTTATATTATTCACAGTGTAGTTTATCTTTTGCATTGTACTATAAAATAAATGCCTAAATTGAAACGAAGCCAAATTTCTAATTGATCAAAAAGAGCACCTCAGGAAATTTTGAAATTTCCCAGTTTTATTTTTACTTTGAATGCAGACAGATTTTCTTAATTCTCTGGTAATTGTAATATTCATGCTCTGCACATTCATTTTAGATGTATAGCAAGCCTAGCTTTCAGAGATGCTGAGCATCTGCGTATCCCTGTAAGTTTGCAGGAGGGATAGGCAGCGTGCAATCTGGGAGTGCATTGACCTTATCCTCTGCCAAAATTATGCCATTTGGAAAAATGAACCTTTAGGATACAAGTGTAAGAAAGATGCGGTGATAAAGAACCTGGGAAGCAGCAATTTTGTTTGTACCTTAATTAACTGTGGGTATTAAAAATGGTTTTTACCATTTTTTTAAATGGAGAATTTTCTCCATTAAAACTACATAGAAATTGTAGTTAGTGGAGAATGCAGTTTCTCCTCATGAGCCAGGAACAGTGTATTAAACGTAGCATTCTATTTAGCGTATAATATTAAATCCACAGTCTCCTCTTTCACCTAGACCGAAGTTACCGCCCAGTCTCCAGCCCACCGTCTAACCTGGAGTGACCCGTGCTGCTGCAGCTCAGTCTCCCAGGCAGGAAGCGCTTTTTGGGTTAGTGGGTCTGTGCTGCTGGAAACGGGCCCTGCAAAGATAAGCGCCACCGCAGATCGTTACGTATGAGGACAGAATGCACGTATTCCTAAACTCTTAATTTATCCAGGTATTTCTTAGAAATTAAAATCCTTTCATGCCAGTGTCATCGTTCTTCCAGCTCAGTGTTTTGTTATTAAGGCTTTTGTAGGCATAGGAACTTTTCACATTCTTTACAATTTTTGTTTGTTGCTTCATACGCAACATCGAATTAAAAGCAGCAAGCTTGAAATAAAGAGGAACTAGCTCACCCTTTTTTCCCCATCCTTTTTATAATGAGAGTGCTTTTTAGCAAAACCAAATTAAGGTATTTTGCAGGTTTTGTATTTATTTTTAAATAAACCGGTATTTCTATGGACACCTGGAAAGAAAATGTCATTTTTATACTCAGCAAAAAGCTTTTTGTGTTCCTAGACTTTTTAATAGAGCAAATAAAATACAAGTAACAGTTTGCTTGGTTTAAGGTTCTACTTGCACATAAAATTCAAATTTCCTTTTTCTTACGTAACTGATGCCAGCCACTTAATCTTCTGTAGAGTTTGGAAGTGGCAGAAGAGAAAGGTTCTCATGTGGAAACACACCTGCAGTTGTATTTTTACTGGAGACTAACGGACAAAGGCAGAAGGCAATACCATTTTGACGGCTGCTGGACATAAGGCTTGGACTGCGTCCTGGAGAGGAACATGACACTTTAGTTATTTTCTGTGGCTGCTCTAATAATTGTCTCTTGAACCTCTTTATTCGAGTGTATTTTTGATATGCAAATATCATACCGGGGCAATGGGCAACATCGTTTTGCGATCAGCGAGCCTTATGCCAAGCTTAATACCCACCTCAGGAGGAAGCCATGCCACGCCACCAAACTTGAGCTTGCGTAGGAAGTTGCAGTGAACACTCACCTGCGTAAAAGCTAGAGTTTTAATGTTTCCAGCAACTACAGAATAGCCTAAGGCTCCTGCGTTTCGTAAAGAAGGGGAAACACTAGAAGAGCTTGGAAGCTTTTGGCAGTGGAAAAAACTTTCAGACAGGGAAAGGAGCATCAGTACAATAAATCTGCATGATCGTCTGGATAGAAAACTCTGATGCCCTGCAGCAGTCTCTGAAATTAGAGGTCTGGCCATCCCTGTGCCTGAAAGAAGGCAGCAGAGTGGCACTGAGCTATGAATAACGTGTAGCACGACAAAAAGATTCTTGGACTGTTAACATGTCTAGCATGGTAATGCTTTCAAATATAAAGTTGGCCGTAGTTGACCTGCGGGTTCTTCCCACCAAGGGATGAAACTGGTGATGGATTCCACTATGTGGATGCTGTATAGCTTATTTATAATGAAGATATAAAACCCTGCTCCTTTGGACCCAGGAGGAATTAAATGTAAAAACAGACTCCTTTTTTATGTTTGGGTTGGGTTTTTTTTTCCCCTCCAGCTCTAGGCGCCTTCCCAACAGTCAGCACTTAGCTCCAGAAGCACTCTCGTAGCTTTCTACGTCAGGACCATGCTTTACTGGAAGTGGATAGTTTTCTCCTTTGCTGAGAGTTTACACTCTTTATTACCAGCACAGACTGGGATACCCAAATACAGAAGATCGAACCCATGTGGCACATCAGTGTAACTGGTAAATAGCTTTGGAGACTTCATTCTGTTTGCAGTCAGGCGTAATGTCACATTGGAGTAGATGATTTTGAAGAAACGTGGCTGTGACTTTCCTTGGGAAAAGTTTGGCAGTCTTCCCTCTGCTTTCCCACACTGCTTTGCATCCTGCCCCAGCCAACTGGTCGGTGTACCTGTGTGGGCCTCAGTGCTCAAGGATAGCGGTGACAAGATGTCACTGCCTTGCCAAATGCTGGTGAACAGCCACGTTCTGGATCTTGGCACTCTCATACTGCAGGAGTTGGCACAACCACTATAATTTTTAATTTAAACCACTTCCCAGGCTTCTTTCTCATACGTCTAGCTGGGCCTGTGCTAAAGACCTCCTAGCCCTGTAGGGAGAGATGAAAGAGAAGAAATCTTCGTTTCTGAGTATAAGAAGGACAAGATTTTTAGGCCATTGCTACAAGGAGCGGCCAAGCAAGGCTGTGAGGTTCCCGGCAGTGGCAGGTAAATGTCAAGGCCTCGAAGGTGGCTTGGTGAAGATCAAGGGACAGACTCTATGTAACCCTTACCAAGTGTCCATATTATGAAGAGGTGAATAGGATTTCTTACTTAGGATACATGCATATTC